TCTGCATTGTAGTCCCCTGCCACCAATTCCAGCCTGCATAGCCGAAAGCAGTGCCCGGTCACCTGTCATTGTGCGGGGTGGGGGGTTGCCAGTGCTGTCACTTTGTGGGGGGGTGAGGATGGCCAGCGGGGGTGTGTGGGAGCCTGGTGTAACGCGGGTGCCCTCCTGTCACTGTGTGGGGGGGTGAGGGCGGCCATCGGGGGTGTGCTGGGGCCATGGAGTACCATGGGTGCCCTCTGTGTTCTCCCCCCTTTTCTATCTGATTCTCTGGCAACCCTTTCCCAGTTTAACCAGACACAGCTGGTGGGTCTCTGGTCACAGGAAGGGGGCTCTGTCGGGGGTCCAGGGGGGCCGTCGCTCCCAGTTCGCAGGATCAGGTGATAAACGGATTCTGTTGTTCCTCTCTCAGTAGATTTATTACGTGTGGCGTGTGAAATGAGGCCCCATCCGTCCGTCCTACCTGTACTCAAAGTGGGGGGGGGGTGTGGGCCGGCCGGCGGTCACCCGATTCGGGGGCACCTGTTTACCTGTAGGGGCTGACTGGGAAAGACTGGAAAGCCGGCACGATGTACTGCGTAGGATGGCACCACATTTAAGTTTTGTTTCAATTTTTATTCACTCGCTTCCAGTTCCTCCCCCGTTCCTCACTGTCCATCCTCCTTTCGCCTGAAGAGAGCGCTAAGGAGCCAGGTCACTTTTTCCAAAGGGTGCCCCAAAGCCGCTGGCATGTTGTTGAAGCCCCCAGAGCGGCAGGTTTGTTATTTCTGTTGGGATGTGAAGCTTCCCGTCAGGGAAGTCTATGGAAAGTGGGTGGGACCCAGGGCAGCGTGTCTCTATACCAGGGGTCACCAACCTTTTTGAATCTGAGAGCTACTTCACGGGTACTGAGCCATACGAAGGGCTACCAGTTTGAAACTCCCTCCTAAACTTATCTAAGCTTCGTGTATAATAAACATGCTTTAAATGCTTTTTTAAAAATTATTATAAAAAAATAAATGCTTTTTTTAGATATTGTTATTTTCAAATCTATATAAATGCAAATGTGATTAAAGAAGAAAAAAATTTAATTTTATATGCTGCTCACTGGTGAGTTGTGATATTTTTAGAACAGGTCCACGAGCGACTCGTGGTCCTTGGGGGCATCCTGGTGCCCGCAGGCACCGTGTTGGTGACCCCTGTTCCATAGTAATGGAATATCCGCCCAGGTTCTGGGTGTCTTTACTGGCTGCTGAAGGGGGCAGAGCACCCAGCACGGCCCATGATGCGTCGCCTATAATGAGCTTGGCAGGGAAAAGTGTCGGTCAGACTTTGCTGGCTATTGTGTGCCCCCCCAGCATGAATGGGGTCCGCTGCCACCAGGGACTTCTCACCCATGAAAACATTTTTCTTATGGGTCATTGCTGTGATGGGTTGCTGGATGCGAGGGCTGCTTAGAGCGCTCCCTGGTGGACAGACAGCAGGCCCTTTGGGTTGCTCACCGGGGACAGTCTGTGAGAACCTGGCCCTGTCCTGTCCCGCAGAAACGCAGACTATCATGGCTGTTCACGGAATCCAGAGGGTAATATATCCCCCACTCTGTCATAGCTAATAAATAGCAGCCCAGCTGTATCTGGAGTGGAGCTGCCCCCCCGCCCCCCCGCCCCGCCCCTTTGTTGCAACACATTCTGCTGACTTATGTGCTCTGTAACAGATAGCCTTGTTGTTTTATGCCTTATAAATTTGTGTTTTGTACTGCCTACATTTCACATTACATCTTTGTGTTTTCTTTGGACCCGGAACCTGGCGCTGTCCACCCGGCACTGATCCCTGTTCCTGTTCCTCGTTTTCATTCCCAGTGCGCGTTCCCGACGGACTCCCATTCCTGCTCCTGAGTTCGTGACGCACGTGATTGAAGTGAAAGTTGCCGTGGTCATGGGGAGGTGGTGGTAATGAGATGGTGGGGATGATGAGGCTGGGTGGAGATGGTGAGGAAAAGGGGAGAGGAGGAGGCAGTGAGGAGGTATGGGGGTGATGGTGGAGTGGAGGAGATAGCAGGTGGAGGAGGAAACATGGAGGAGGTAGCAAGGAGGAAGCAGGCAGTAGAGAGGGTGGGGAGCAGACAGCGGTGAGGAGAAGACAGGGAGGTGATGGTGGAAAGGAGGAGGCGGGGAACAGATTATAGGGATATGGCGGGGAGGAGATAGGAAGGAGGAAGCAGGTAGGAGAGAGGACGGGGAGGAGATGGTGGGGAGGTGGAGGCTGGATAGAGACGGTGGGGAGGACATAGGGTGGAGGAGGTGAAGGAAAGATAGTATGGTTAAGAAGAGGCATGGAGGAAGCAGGTAGTAAAGGCGGGGTGGAGATGGTAGGATGGAGGAGGCAAGGGGGAGATAGCGGGTGGAGGTGGAACTGGGGAAGAGGTAGCTTGGTGTGTGTGGAAAGGAGAGATGGCTGGAAGGAGGAGGTGGGGAGGTGGTGGAGTTGTGGAGGAGAGATGTGGGGGAAAGGAGCGGTAGTGGGAAGAGGCAGTGGTGTGGTGATGAGCAGGTAGGGAGGAGGCTAGATGGCAGGGATGAGATGATGGAGGGAGGCGATGGGGAGACGGGGAGCTAAGATGGTGTTAAGCTGTCCTCGAGCTGGTTCTCCCCAGCGAGGTTCATGTCCTCTCAGAAAGGAGCTAATTAAGTGAGTTTACAGGAATCTTAAGGATCCTCCCTGGAGGATGCTGGGGGTTTAGTGGCAGGTCAGGGATCATAAATCCCTGCAACTTTCGTTTCGGAAGTGTGCCCTTGTGCCCCTAGCCACCCCCCACTCCCCTTGGCCATATGTGATGTGATGGCTCCCTACATTAGCGGTAGTGGCGGGAAACCGGAGACCCCCCCCCCCCCCCCAGAGGGGAGGAAAGAGCAAGTTAAAGCAAAAAGAACAAAAACAAACAAACAGGGAGGTGGACGGACGGAGTGAGTGGCCTCGGGTCTGGCTTTCGTCTCTTACGGTAGCCCAGGGGGGCCCTGCTCTCCTGGGGCCGGGGGGGGGCCTGCTTTCCAGTGTTCCTAGCCCCAACCCCCCCTTATCAACCCTCGAGGGCCCTCCCTGATGCCAGACCGCTGTGGCTGTCCTTTCTACCCTAACCCTTTTTTCAGCGTTGGGGGGCGATGTGGCTGGGTGATCAGCGCGGCTCTCGACTGGCCACTGGGGGTGCTGTTGGGGGGGGGGGGGGGGGCGCTGGCTGTAATGGCCTTATAGATCTGCTGTGGCATTTCGCTGGGTGACGTCGGCCATCTTCCCCTTTACATTGTATGGGTGTGAGGAATGCTTTGTGGCTCCATCCAGAGCTGTATGCTGCTTCATTCCTTGTTTGGTTACCATGGTGAGTCCTGGTGACCCGTATGGACATTGTGTTGCTGGTATCCCCGCCTCCAGACGGATTTCCCTGGCTGGCATTCCTCCTCAGCGGGGTCAGAGGGCTAGCCGGCGCACGGTCCATCATTCCTGCGCAGACCGCCACGGCAGCCTCTGAAATTACATCAGAGCATGAGGGGGTGGGGGTCAGGTACTGGGGGCCAGCGGGCTGAAAGGAATTCCTGTACTGTCCCCGTGCATTAACTAGCTGACCTGGACAGCCAGATCCCATTTACCTCATTTTCCCAAATCAATTTCACATCCCTGACCTTTGACCATGTTAATTATAAGACATGTCTGGGCCACTGGCCCGGGTGCCATAGAGCCGCTGTGAGGAGCTGGCTGGCTGTGACGTCATCATCAGGCTGGCCTGGACTCCCATGCAGCACTGCCATTCTCTTCCATCGGATTCCAGCTTTCACATGTATCTGTATGGAAGATGCAGTTTCAGTGATGAGCGCGTCAGTGGGAAGTCTTAGCTGTTCCATGACATGCCGGTCTCTGGGTGGTTAGCGCCGGTCCCAGTCAGTGGTGTGGGTGTCCGGGCAGTCAGTACTGGTCCAGGTCCGTGCAGCGGGTCTGGCTTGTGTCAGAGCCCCGTTGGCTGCTGACGAACGAGCAGTAATTGCATTCCGGGTGGAGGGGGTGCGAGTGGGGTGGCCATAAAGAGGCGTGTGATGACAGATTTACTAAACGACTCCACAGCGGTGTGACTCGCCCCCCCCCGTCTCTCCCTCTCTCGCTCGCTCGCTCGCTTGGCAGATGCACGGTCATGCCGGCAGATCGCAGGCCGCCAAACACGCTCATTTCCTCCTGCCTTGTGTCGACCTGCCCCTCGGCCCAATCCACTCACAGAGAAATGGTGAGATGCGTCCCCGGGCCCCCGGGCCTCCGACCTCCGCTACCTCCTTAATGGAAAAAAACAGCTCTCCTGGTCCAGCTGTCTGTCAGCGGGACGACCCAGCAAATTTAGAGGGACTCAAATATCCTCTATTTATTTGTAAAAAATGTATTTTGGTGGCACCTGTGAACTTGACCTACTCTGGGTTATTTCTGGCTTGCGGGGAGCACAGGGTGTCTTTGTCCCCCCACCGCCCCCCCCAGCACCACACAGAGCCCTCTGTGCCCATCCTCGCCTTGACGTGCCTTGGAAATTCAGGTGGGGGGGGGGTCCAGGATGCCGCAGCCCACTGCTGGCCCCTGAAAGCCTGAATATGGGCTAAAGATGCCCTTCTTGTGAAAGGGGGGACTGCTTTGCCCCCCTGGGACAGGCTGGTGACTGTCAGCAGTAGCCACTGATTGAGGGTCAAGCAAGGGGTTGGAGAAAAATGCCCAAGGACCTTCTGGAATAATCCCATAGCATTTAGCAAACATCACTGTCCTGAGGACTGTCTGTGGGCAGTAGGGACCAGTGTAACATCATGGATCGCCGCACTGCACTTTTTCTATGTTTGTTAGCCTGACGTCTTTTCTTTGGTTTGGATCTTACAACCTTCTGGTTTTTGCGTACCCATATTCCCCTGCTGCCTCACAGATGGGCCCTTGTTGGAGACCCACGATGTGTTTGGGCTGCGCGGGCAGATCGAGCACAAGATGGCCTTCCTGAAGAGGCACGTGCCCCGTGACACCAAGCTGGTGCTGATTGGCCACTCCATCGGCTGCTACATCATCCTGGAGATGATGAAGAGGGACCCACAGCTGCAGGTGAGGCAGACAGCAGGCGCCCGCGGCCCAGAGGACATCTCACTCTGTAGTGATCACCGTCAGCGTTGAGATCCTGCACACATACGGCCCATGCTCTGTAGGACAAAGCCAGTTCCTTGTGCTGGATGTTAGGGGAGATGCTATGGAATAAATTGCACAAACAGCCCCCCCCCCCCCCCCCGGCTACTACATGCCCCAGACTCTCTTTTCCATTTTCCATGGTCAAGCTAAAGGTTCGCAGAATGGAAGGGTGTGTGCCCTTGTGTCTGTGTCTGTCTGTGTGTCTGTGAGTGTGTGTTTGGGTCTGTGTGTGTTTCTGCGTGGAATAGGTTACAATGTGATAAAAACCAGTTATTTTGACATTGTGGGGACCATTTTTCAGGTTTGTGTGTGTGTGCCTGTCTCTGAGGGGGGTGGTTTTTCTAGGTAACTTACCATCATCTTTATTCCTCAGGGAAGGTGTGATCCTTGTGTGATTGTTTCTATTACCTCCTTTTTCAAATATAAAAAATGCTCATTAATCCCCCCCCCACCCCGCTCTCTGGCCTCCAGTTCACCCATTACCTGACAGATTATAAGCTAGTCTCTTTAGGGTCCGCAGGGCCCGCTATGACTGGGGGGCCTTGGCTGCAGGTCCGATCCACACGCACCTGGCTCTGTAAACGCTCAGGTCCGTCAGACTGCCCCCCCCAGTGTGAGCTTTGGCAGGATCTGTGGGTCCGGACTGTCCTGCCATATTTAAAAACTAGGAAAGAATCTTTGCCTACTTCCCGCTGGAGTGGCCGCCAGCAGCCGGGGTGGGGGGTGGGGGGGGGGCGGGGATGCGATGGGTATGTTCTGTAACTTATGATGTGTGACGTGTTTACATTGGAGGGCCTCCGACCTCTCTGCCGGCTTCGCGGCCGGCCTGCAGCCACTCTACCAGCTCCACGGCCTGCCCGCAGCCTCTCTGCCAGGCACACAGCCTCTCTGCCGGCTCCACGGTCTCTCTGCTGGCTTCGCGGCCGGCCTGCAGCCACTCTACCAGCCCCAAGGCCTGCCCGCAGCCTCTCTACCAGGCACACAGCCTCTCTGCCGGCTCCACGGTCTCTCTGCCGGCTTTGGAGCCAGCCTGCAGCCACTCTACGAGCTCCAGGGCCTGCCCGCAGCCTCTCTGCCAGGCACATGGCCTCTCTGCCAGCTCCGCAGTCTCTCTGCTGGCTCCGCGGCCTGCTCGCAGCCACTCTACCAGAGTAACTGGTGTGGAGAGACGGGTGTGGAGTAACTGGTATGGAGTAATGGGCATAGAGTAACAGGCGTGCCGTACCGTGTGCGGAGTACTAGGCGCAGAGTAGTGGGTGCAGAATAACTGGTGTGGAGTGATGGGCATGGAGGAGCAGGTGCGAAGTCACTGGTGTAGACTGATGGGCCCAGAGTAGCAGGTGTAGAGTAATGGACACAGAATACTGAGCGTTGAATAACGTGTGTGGAGTACCAGCTGTGGAGTAGTAGCGAGCTCTGAGTAAATGGTGTGAAGTAATGAGTGCAGATTAACATGCATGGGGTAGTGCGTGGAGTAACGGGTATGGAGTTACTGGTGTGCAGAAATGGACACAGAATAGGAGGCATGTGGAGTAACAGGCATGGAGTTGAGTAACAGGCATGGAATAATGGGCATGGACTACCAAGCGTAGAAGAAATAGTGGGCATGGAGTAGCGGGTGTGGAGTAGCGGGTCTAGGCATCAATGACTGCAGCTCCATCCTTCCTACCTCCTGACACAACCTCCCAAACGGAACCTGTACACACAGGATAAACCAGCAGAGACTGGACTGGATCCCGTTGGGGAAATGGACCCAACAGCCCCCTGGCTGGGAGCACCGTGACCCCGGTGGCCCAATCCGACTCCAGGTGTCAATCCCCGGAAGCCGAGGCGTGAGAACGGGCAGGAGTGGGGAGAGCTGGGATACGGCTGGACGCCGGCCCGGGAGAGCCGACGGCACAGGGGTCACTGGAAATATGCGTCAGGAATGCGGAGGGGTGGGGGGGGGCACCGGCTGGAAGGAGATTGGAAAACAATGGATGCCAGTGGCTTTGTAAGCTGAGGGGGGGGGGGTGCATCATTTACACTTTTCGTCAGGATCGCCTCTCGGGTTCAGGCACGGTGATTAAAGCGGGCCGGACCCGGCCACTTAAGAACCACTTAAAATATCTCCCTGCCTTTTGACAGTGGCCTCACAGGGAGTGGAAAGGTGCGGGGGGGGGCTGGGCACATTCGGTCCTGTAACTGCAGAAGCCAGTCCCCCCAATGGGCCGCCCACCGTGATTATGAGCGCCACACACTGTGGAGGGCTCTGCTGAAATTACATTTCTTTGTTCTTTTGTGTTTTACATGAAGGGGCAGAATAGTGACCAGGGCGAAAGAGCTTGTGTTCTGAGGGAGGAATTTGGGGAGAAGATCTACGGAGGTTGTTCTTGATCTTGGATGGAGCCCTGAGGCTGGCAGCTGTGGAGTCGGGAGGGAGTGGGCCAGGTCGGGCCCGTGGTGGTTTGTTTTCCCTCCCAGAAGCCATTAGCAGAGTGGCAGCGGTCAGCAGGACCAGACCTTCTGATCAAAATAAAGAGGGCTTATAGCCGTGAAGTGTCAGGGTAAGTGGTGTTTATTCATGGAATTATGGGAGGATAAAGCAGCTCATTGGAGCGGGGGGGGGGGGGCACCGGGACCACATCTGGCAGCTTGTGCCGTGGGTGCTTCCCGAAGTGCCGTCCGCAGCGAACGAAGGAAGAAAAACAGACGGAATGAACCGGAAGACTCGCAGGGGGCAGGAGGTCGCGTCCATGTCGCTGCCCCGGTGACCCCCAGTGCCGGCTGTTAAAGTCGGCCAGCATCCAGCTGTTTTCCCGCCTGCTGACCCCACCCCCCCGGTTTTTCTCCCAGTGGGAAGACTTTAATTAAGCATTTGCATTTTAACAATGCATTTTCTGTAATTGGTGCGGCAGGGCATACGGGACCCTTGGCGTGGCACGGTGTGGTGTGGCATAGTGTGGTAGGGCATATGGGACGTTTGGAGTGGTGTGCCGTGGCAGGGCATACGGGACCCTTGGCGCAGCGTAGTGTGCCAGGGCATACGGGACCCTTGGCGTGGCAGGGCATATGGGATCCTTGGTGTGCTGTGGCTCAGCAGGGTGTACGGGTCCCTCATTGTGGTATGGTCTGGCTGGGTGTATGGGACCCTCGGTGTAGCGTGGTGCAGTGGGGTGTATGGGACCCTCTGCGTAGCGTGGTGCAGTGAGGTGTATGGGACCCTCNACCCTCTGCGTAGCGTGGTGCAGTGAGGTGTATGGGACCCTCTGCTTAGCGTGGTGCAGTGAGGTGTATGGGACCCTCGGCGTGGCGTGGTGCAGCGGGGCCTACAAGACCCTCAGCATGGTGTGGTGTGATGGGGCATCAGCCTGGGTCCCAGCTGGGCACGCTCACTCCAGCCAAATTGCTCTGCTTCCCCTTCACCAGCCAGCATGTCATGAGGGATGGGGGAGAGTGGAGGTAATTAACGAGGCCTGGCCTGGCCTGGCCTGGCCTGCCCCGGCCACCCTGGCCCAGCCCCTGCACTGAGAGTCAGGTTCCTTGTTAAACACACTTTTAACCTTTTACAGCCCATAAAGAGGTGTGGAGTTGTAGTTTACAACTTCGCCGGTGATTAACGGCTGCCTCCCCCAGCCCCCACCAATTAACCCCCGTGTTATGATAACAGAAATGCGTGTGAATCCAGCCCCGGGCTGTGGATGTCTGGGGTGAGGCCACTGTCCAGGATCCCCTCCTGAAAGACCCGCCTGCCAGCTTGTGTGTTGCTCTCTGTCTAGTTTGCTTATGTTTTCTCTGAATAATCATCCGGGAACCTGATTGGACCATGCAATTCTCTGAATAATCATCCAGGAACCTGATTGGACCACGCAATTCTCTGAATAATCATCTAGGAACTTGATGGGACCACGCCATTCTCTGAATAATCATCCAGGAACCTGATTGGACCACGCCATTCTCTGAATAATCATCCAGGAACCTGATTGGACTCTGCCATTCACTGAATAATTTTCCAGGATTGAACTATACCGAGCATCGGTACCCAGGAAGTTTCCGGCACCGTTATGTATACGCTCGTTGTTTTTGGCACCACTGCGTTTCCTCGTATTGCCGGACCCGCGCTCTCTTTCCTGGCACTCGGAAGATCAGAGAGCCATCAACCTCGCCTCAGTGAAAGTTCGTAAACGTGCTGCAGGTGGAGGCTTTGGAACCCAGAGGAAGGCCTCCAGAATTCACGCTGTGTTCATGGATTTCACTTGGGTCTTTTCTCTCAGACCTCTGTTTCCTGGGATTTCCAGCTTTCGAATTTGGGGAAAAGTCCACTGAACCTTAGATATGTTTTATATCGGTTCATTAAAAGCTCCAGTGGAACCAAGATATACCTACCTAGCAGTCACAGCCTGACTGATCCGTAGGTATGTTGGATAGAGTGAGTTTTCTTTGTTCCGGATGTCTGTAAAGGTGCATGCTACACTGAAATGCTGACTGGGGCCGAGTTCTCCTTAAAATGCTGCCACCGTGAGCTTTTAGTTCATCTTCTCCTTAATCATGCATGGAGTTGAATCCACTCTCAAGCTGTTTCTGAAGACAGATACTGTCCGAGTTAGTCCTTTTAAAGTTAGCGCCCTAATCTCCAAATCTGTTTTATTAAAGCAGGTTTCATTGGAGGGACAGGTAGTGTGTTTTCTGAAAAGCTTCCCGAACAGAGTTGGCTTTAAATGACACGCTGTGTTTGCTTTTGGGTGAGTCGGTTTTGTCACATGACCTAGCTGTATGTCCCACGTCCCTGTCAGACGCCACGGTCCTCGATCCTGGACTCACTGAATGGTGGGGTTTGGGCCAAAAACCACAGACGGGCCGGGACAGCCCGGGCTCCAGGTGTGGGGGCCCACGAAGGTCGCGACGAAGCAAGAGAGCTGGGAGCTTATCGAGGGACATCTATGGCAGGAGAGGAAGACCTGGGCAGCTTGGAAGCTGCCAGACACCCTGGAAGGAGTCCCTGGATCCAGTAATTACTGTGCAGAACAAGAATCCAGGAAAACGAGCTTAATAACCATCAGGCTGTGGCATTATTGTTGTCTCACTGGCCAGGGGCTTCGCCCCAGCGTCCTCTACACGACTGGGGGGGGGTGGGGCACTGTTACGAAGTAGATTCCGTGATCAGTGCTTACGGGAGACTGAAATATATGCTGCTTTGTGAGGACACTCATCTAATTGATGGCAGAAGCTAAGGAGTCCCCAGGAGTGGGAAGTGACTGCCTTGTGATTCACAGCTGCGTGACGTTCTGGGGACTTGCCAGTGCTGCATGTATCCGGCAGCATCCGTCCTCAGGTTGTGATGGGCCATCTCTGGAGCGCGGAGCCGGCGGGTCCGGCGCCGTGACGGTGCTGCCGGCAGAGGATGCCCTCTGTGCGGTGTGGGCACCAGCAGATCCCATATCATGGCGGTGCTGCCGGTGGAGGTGGAGGCACTATCCCCACATTCCCGTCTTCTTCAGCATTCCTGCCTACATTCCTAACCCCACAGGACCAGGCTCTGCTTCTCATCACTGCCAGCACTGCTGCACATCAAAGGTTAGCAGCACCCCTCTCTCCGCATGGACATCAGACACATGCAGACACAGTCATGCAGGCGCAGACTGAAACACACGCAGACAGAAACACATGCACGTGCAAACCTACATACACATGCAGGCACACGCAGACACAGACACTCACATAGACACTCAGGCCTGAGAGGGATTCTCTCCGCACACAGCCTGAATGTTAGCGTGTTGAGTTCAGGCCTGAGTGGGATTCTCTCCGCACACAGCCTGAATGTTAGCGTGTTGAGGTCTCTGTGGTGAGCTTTCTTTGTTAGGCTTCCCCAGCAAGACAGATGAACTGCATGGAGCCTGTCTCTGCATTCCCCTTGCACCCTTGCTGATGCACTGGGGGAGTTTCGGGGGTGGGGTGAGGCCTGGGGCCCGGCTTCCTCTCAGTGAGAGACGTGGGCTGCTTGTTGGGATGGTGTCCCGGCACGGTGGGCTTCTCAGGCCCGTCTGATGGGTCCCGTTCTGCTAGCCAGCTGCGGACAGGTGCGTCCTGGTCCTCCGACCTGCGGTCTCCCTCCCTCCCTTCCTGCCTGCCTCCTCTGCTTCACAGCTTCCTCTATCTCTTGGTTCCCATCATGTTTCTCATTCTGGGAGAAACAAAATGGACAAGGCTGGACCACAAATTGCACTGATGGCCTGCCAACGCCCCAGCACGGCCGCTGCTCATTGGATGAGTGAGATCACATGACCCAAGAACACATTTGACCTGTGCCCATGACATTCCAGTGCTCCTATATTCAATACACATTTTTACACATTTTCGCACCCCTGACCCTGGAGGCGTGAGGCGATGGCACCCCCACCTGGTCCTTGGTTGATTAGCCATCAGTGGGACGCGTGTGCCGATGCCCCGCCCCCGCGTTCCTGCCCCAGCGCCTAGTTTGCGGTGGCTGTGAGGTACTGGGAGCACCTGCACCTGCAGCTGTAGATGTAGATGTAAAGGCCCTGGTCTGCTTCAGCGGCTTGGTGGGATCCCGCAAGCTGGCATGGAGCCTCACTGCGCTTCTGCTTTCTGCAGCTCTCGCTATATGTGTAAAACTTCCAACTGAGCATTTGATAAAGTCGTTAGGCCAATTAAGCAGCTGACCAAGTGTGGAAATACTTTTTAAAATACTAGGCAGTGTGCCTGACTTAACATATTTATGCCATAAATAGTTATGGTTTAAATGCTCTGTTGATTGATTAACTAGATCAGTTGGGATTATGACTTGGCGGTCCTCCAGGGGGCGATGTGGAGAGCAGGTTGAGCCTGACTGGGTTCTGGCCTGTTCCATGTCTGTGGCCCATTAAAGACCAGTGCCCCATCCTGCTGGTGGTGGCTATTGGCCCAGCTAGGGAATAATTGGGCCCAGTTTGCAGCCGTGGGGTCAGCCTGGCTTTGCACTGCATTGTAAAATGACTCATTTGTGCGACCCTCTGTTGATCCTTAACGATGCAGACGGCTGTAAGCATAAGAGTGAAGGAGAAGGCATTCTCCCTCTATAAACCCTTTTATTTGGCATATTCATGGTGAGATGAGCCCTGTGCTGAATGTTTACATCGGCGTGTGTGTGTGTGTGTGTCTGTTCATGTCTGTGCATGTGTGTGTGTGTGTCTGTCTGTTCATGTCTGTGCGTGTGTGTGTGTGTTTTTGCCTGTGTGTCTGTTCATGTCTGTGCGCGTGTGTGTGTGTTTTTGCCTGTGTGTCTGTTCATGTCTGTGCGTGTGTGTGTGTGTGTGTGTCTGTCTGTTCATGTCTGTGTGTGTGTGTGTGCATGTGTGTGTGTGTGTTTGCCTGCGTGTCTGTTCATGTCTGTGCGTGTGTATGTGTGTGTGTGTGTGTGTGTGTGTGCGCGCGCACGCACGCAGAGTGTCCCGCTCCTATCTGAGGAAACCCAGCTGTTAAGGAGCTGAAATATGCGACCTGAATCTGTCCAAGAAAGGGCAATGCTGTTGTACCTTTCAGAACTTTGAGCACCTTCTACTATGGCAGAAGATGTGTTTGTGTAAATGTTGTGCCGCCCCCTTGGGTTTTGGTCCATGTGGGCCCCCTCTTTCTCGCTCCTCTCCATCCGGATGCCTTTCCTCAGATGATTCCTGCCATTTCTGAGGTTTTATTACATCAGCAGCTCAAATCAAAGTAACAGAAGGTGGTTCAGCTGGGAGCAGCTGACTTCTGGGGCAGGAAGATTTATGATGCTGGTGTGATGCATCATGGAGCATCATATTCATCTCTGATGGAGTCTGGTCACCCTGTTCTGCTAATGACTGACCAGCAACGGTAAAAGAGTGTTACTGGGCCTGTGCAGCAGTGGTTCTTAACCTTTTTGCACCGCAACCCAATTGTTACCATGCCAGCTGAGTTGCAACCTTATATCAAGTATAGATTCGTGGGTCTGTAGGGCATGCCTGTGATTCGTGGGTCTGTAGGGCATGCCTGTGATTCGTGGGTCTGTAGGGCATGCCTGTGATTCGTGGGTCTGTAGGGCATGCCTGTGATTCGTGGGCTTGCGCTCAGACCCTACTCCCTTCCCCACGCAGGTGCTAAAGGCACTGCTGCTGTTCCCGACAATCGAGCGCATGGCGGCGAGCCCGCAGGGCCGGCTCATGACGCCGGTGCTGTGCCAGCTACGCTTTGCCGCCTACCTGCCCGTCTTCCTGCTCTCCCTGCTGCCCCGCAGCCTTCAAGCTGCCATGGTCAAGCTGGTGCTCAGCGGCCTCCCTTCCCTGGACCGCACCGCTGCTGCTGCTGCGCTCAGCCTCTTCAATGTCGACTGCGTAGGTGAGAATACATCCGAGTGCCCTCATCCTGCACCTCACACCCTACCCCTCTACCTGAGACCCTCAGATCCTGTACCCTACACCCCCCCATCCTACACCCTATACCATACTCTCTACTCTGCACCCTCCCATCCTGCACCCTATACCCTACTTTCTGCCCTGCACCCTATACCCTACTCTCTACTCTGCACCCTCCCATCCTGCACCCTATACCCTGCTTTCTACCCTACACCCTATACCCTACTTTCTACCAGATCCTGTACCCTACATCCCCCCATCCTACACCCTATACCCTACTTTCTACCCTATACCCTCCCATCCTACACCCTACTTTCTGCCCTGTACTCTTTCACCCTGCACCCTACCCTCCACCCAACATAGTAAAATGAACCTTCAGAAAAATTACAAACATTTATGTTTATGCTCCCAAACGTATGTTTATGCTCCCAAACATGTATGTTTATGCTCCCAGTAAGCATGTTAGTGTGCCTTTGAATATATCCTTCAGGAATGTGTTTGGCTGCCGCTGTGCATGTTTCTGTGTAATAACAATCAGAGCGGCATTTTCAGGAGGAAAAATGCTCAGATAAGTGATAAGGGGCCGCAGGGCCAGACATTTTCCACTGGGAAGCAGGCAGGCGGCTGTGGGGGCCCCTGTTTTTGGAGATCGTCGTCCAAACTGCATCCCAGCTGTCCTCCTTGCCCGCCAGACACGGAGGTGTGAGGCTGCATTTTCCCTTTTTCTCTTTTATCCATGTGTCTCCTGCAGTACGGGGTCCGCTATCCGGTATCGGTTTTCATGGGGGGGGTGTAAACGGGCTTTCCTGGCGGAGACCGGCCCGTGGTTGCAGTAACGAGACCGAAGAGGCCGCTACCTCTGTGCCGTGTGGAGCCATAGATCACTCTGCATTTACTGGGCCCACTCGTCCTTCCGCGCTCGCCGCCACGATTTATGCTGTTTCCGTTTTGTTTTGGGGTTGGTCATGGGGAGGGGGGGGGGCGATTTCTGCTTCCTTGGGTTCTAAAATGAAAAACAATGTTGGGCTGTCCGTGTCTGCGCGGGGGGGGGGGGGGATGAGTGATCGATGGCATGTTGGTGGGAGCATCAGGGCCAGCGGTGTCCCCCACACCCCCAGGTAGTCCTGCACAAGGCCCCCCCCCCCATGCTCACCGTCATCTGGTGCAGGGAGGTTTAATGAAACACTTTCGCTTTCTCCCTGTCTGATTCCCTCCATACAATTTCATCTCGTCTCACCATCTAAGTAATAATACTAATGATGGTTTATTTTATTGGCTTTCGGTAAGAAATTAAAAAAAAACATTTATTTTAATGTCTGTTACAACTTAAGGGGGATTTGCGTTTATTTCACCCTAACTTATCTTCAGTGGCCTTTTTCAGTGTTTTTTTTGTTTTGTTTTACTTTTTACTTTTAGCATTTGTCTTTAATAACACAAAAGGATACTTTGATCACATTTCCACGCTGTGTATGTAATTAATGGTAAGTTGACAGGTATAATTAACAAAACATGTTCTGATTAGGTTAAGCTTCCTGGCCATATTTCAAAGTTTATTTTTCCAGGTTTGGTCCTTAATGAAATAAAGTTGATGGGTGTGTAATCGCAGCCCGCTGACAGCTCCCCCGCCCCCCCTCAGCTCACCGGGGCTTTTCTAGGGGGTTAACTAGACGCAGAGCGGCCCTCGCCCCCCCCAGCTCCTGCTGCTTGAGCACCCGTGTGCATTTTAGTCACGTGAGGGGAATTTAATGCGAGCAGAGATTACAGACGGCAGGAAACATACCCCTTATATCGTGCTTGATATATATATTTTTTGCTTGTTTGGGGGGTGAGCCAGACCCAGATGCCAAGGGCCCTTCGTAGTGCACCGTCCCGTTTGGGGGTCTCCCAAACACCTGTTTCTCCTTGGGCGGTCGGAAAGCCCAGCCAAGCGCTGGGGCCTTCCGGAGAAGCGGCCACAGTCTCGGAAATTTCTGAGGGAGGGAGGGATACACCCCAGTTGTTTAAAAGCCGCAAATCAAAACCATGTTTCACACACTAATTGTTTCTGTAATAGTTTTTTTTGTTGTTGTTGTTGTTGGCAAGTGATAGGAAGATGGGGCTTCTGAGGCCTCTCCCCATGGCCAGTAGGGGGCGTCTTTTCTCGCGGTACTGTCTGGGTGGATGGAGAACCAGTTTGCAGAATTGCCCTTTTCTGCTCCTTTCCCCTGCCCCTTTCCCCTTGCTTCTCTCCCTTTCCTCCCCTCTTCCCTTTTCTCCTCTCCTCCCCCTGCTCCTTTCCCCCTTTCCCGCTCTTGTTTCTCCTCTCATTTTCCATCGTTTCTCTTCTGCTTCTCGGTCCTATCCCTCTGCTTCTCTTTCCCTCTCCTGATCATCTCTTACAAACTCCTGTACCTGTTTCATTCCTTCAGTTTCACGTGGACCCTGTTTGCAGGATTTTCAATGCATTTAATTTATTAGAAAAATAAAATGAGACGTCAGCAGACCAAGACATATGTCCCACGAAGCTGCATGAGGCTACACTGCTCATGGCCAGCTGGGGTACCAACCGCTTGTATGCACCCCCCTCCCCGCAGCAGAAGCCCCCGACAGGGGACTCCTCCCCTGGTAACTCCCGGGTCAGTGGGCGCTCGATCCCGTGGGATGTCCAGGGAATCTCCCAGGAATCCCATGTGCCCTGGCTGCTCACATCCTCCTTCCGCTGGCTCACCGTGGACTTTGCAGACTGATGACCAGGCCGCACTGCATGCCTGTAGACCGGCACCAGGCCGCACTGCACGCCTGTAGACCGGCACCAGGCCGCACTGCACGCCTGCAGACCGGCACCAGGCCGCACTGCACGCCTGTCAGGCCGCACTGCACACTCAGCGGGGGGTTGTTCACCGATATTGGCTGGTGTGGGATCCATCTTCAGACCGGTTGCTATGAAAGGTGAAGGGGGATGACATTAGCATCCCCTCGACCTACAGGAGGCCATTAAAGCTCACAGCCGGCTCCCCGCAGACCCACAGCCGCAGTCTGGGGAGGTGTCCCTGCCACCTGATTCTGCTTGACCCGACTTGGGCACCTGTGTATGGAAAAAATGAACTTATCCTTGGCTTGTGCCAGTGGATCTTCATGTAGTGTGGATTTTCACATGGGCTGCTCTCGCCATGGCGTGGGGAATGGCCATCAAGGAGCTCAGCATTCCAAGTGCCACCTTGACAGGGAGTCGGCCGTTGAACCCTTGAGAGAGGAATGTAGCCGACTGAATGTCAGTGAAACATCAGGCTGCATTAAATACAGCATGCCGCTCAGAGAGGGGTATGTCTGCCGGAGGGCTTGAACAAAAGCCACAAGCTTTGAATCACGAGCGAAGCATGATCTGTCTTTCCTGGCAAAGCTTTGCCCTAAGCGGACGGCAAAGCCCATCGCGCCCCCCCCCCCCACAACCGCTGAGATTTATGTCCGAGAAAAGATAAAAGAGATAAAGAGAAACAGACCGCAGCCCCTCCCCGGATGAGAGGTAGCTGTCCGGAGTCGGGCTGTGCTTTTCTGACCCCATGGTGAAAGAAAGTGGGGGTAATGTATCTGCTACGTACCTGCAACATACCTGCAACATACCTGCAACATACTTGCAATATACCTGCAACATACTTGCAATATACCTGCAATATAGGTAAAGAAGCAGCGTGAGACAAGGTAGCCCTAGAGTTCCCCGTGCCAGCAGATGTAGGGGGGTGTAGGGCGAGTTGTCAGCGCTCCTGGCTGGCTCACACCCCCCCACCCCCACTGGGGAGTGTGTGATGACCTGCTAACGGTGTGGAATGCCGATTCCTGCCAAGGGCTCGCGGCTCGCAGAGCTAAGTCAGACACTTAGAGGGGACTTCTCCTAGATCACAGCTTAGATTGGAGAGCTCCCTCTCTCCCCGCTACCCCCCTCACTCCCACCCCCCCCCGTCTCCCTTTATCCACGATCCCACTCACATGAAATCTAAACAAGCCCGTCGGAGGGGTTTAAACTTTGTTAAAATGATCTGCATTCAACGACTCGTTGCTTCCACTCTCTCACGCCCAGTGGCATCTTGGGAACCAGACTCCCACCTGCTGGGTGTGTGTGTGTGTGTGTGTGTGTGTGTGTGTCTGTGTGTGTCTGTGTGCCTGTGTGTGTGTGTGTGCCTGTGTGTGTCTGTCTGTGTGTGTGTGTGTGTCTGTCTGTGTGTGTGTGTGTGTGTGTGTGTGTGTGTCTGTCTGTGTGTGTGTGTGCTTCTACTTCTGCTGCTGACCCCACGTGTCTTTGTGTGTGCATACCTGTGAACTCTTGCCTTGTGCACGTGTCTCCGTGTACATGCTTGTGTACCTGTCCCATCTGCGTGTGTCTCTACATGTGTCCTGTCTCTGCCCGTGTGCATCTGTGTGTTCGTGTGTGTGCTTGTGTACCCTTCCCATGTGCATGTGTGTCTGCGTATGTCTGCGCCTGTGTACCCTTCCTCTTTGTCTGCCCGTGTGTGTGTGTGTGTGTGTGTGTGTTGACTGCATGCATGGCCACACTCTGTAAATATGTGCTCAGTGTGGGTTAATGATCAAGCCCCCCTGGCCTTCGTTTGGGGGGGGATTCGTGCTTGTGGTTCGTGGGAAAGTGGGCCTTGGTCACTCTGCCTGACTTGTTCACACCTTGCTGTGTTGCTCTGTAGAGAGTGGGGGTGGGTCTCATCACCAGACTGGGACATCGTACAGCTTTGTCCTCTATACTGGGGTGTCTGTGTGTCTGTCTCTGTCTGTGTGTGTATCTGTCTCTGTCTGTGTGTGTATCTGTCTCTGTCTGTGTGTGTATCTGTCTGTCTGTGTGTCTGTGTCTGTCTGTGTGTGTATCTGTCTCTGTCTGTGTGTGTGTCTGTCTCTGTCTGTGTGTGTATCTGTCTCTGTCTGTGTGTGTATCTGTCTCTGTCTGTGTGTGTATCTGTCTCTGTCTGTGTGTGTATCTGTGTGTCTCTGTCTGTGTGTCTGTCTCTGTCTGTGTGTGTATCTGTCTCTGTCTGTTTCTGTGCATCTGTGTGTCTCTGTCTGTGTATGTGTGCTTATGTGTTTGTGTACCTGTGTGTGTTTCTAAGTTGGAGTGTGTGTGTCTGTGTGTATGTATCTGTGTGTGTGCGTTTGTAAGTCTCTCTGTGTGTCTATGTGTTTGTCCGTCCGTCTGTCTGTCTGTCTGTATCTCTCTCCGTCTGCCTGTCTGTCTACGTCTCTTTTCATTGACTGTGACAGTAACAGGAACATAAAGAGCAGGGCGGTCCTCAAACCTCCATGTCTACCTTCTGTATGCATCACTTTCACCTCACATTAGTCCCCCTGAGTTACTGCAGTTCCCAGCAGCGCGCCCCCCCCCTCCCACATTACCCCCTGTGGACTTGCAGCACATGCAGATCGGGGGTGTCGCTCAGTGGCCGTGGTCCCTGGCAGTGCCTTGGTCATGACCCCGCCGCTGTCACTGCCACCCGTTGGGGGTGTGAATGCAGGTTCGGGGGACCCCTCCCTCAGCTGTCCCTTAGACACTGGGGTCAGCAGCAGGAAAACTCGGCACTGGACTTTTGTCGTTCTTCATTTAATTATGAATTAGGAGTCTGGTGACGTCCAAATCAAACAGGAGCATGGCTTTGACGTGCGGGGGTAGGGGGGGGGTCTGTCTGAAAAACAATTCCGGTGAATACCGGGAAAATGGCGTGTCGAGAGCCTGGGACGTCACTCACAGCTCTGGCTGCTTGACCATTAAGCTGAAACTGCAGTCAGAGCCAATTAAGAAATGCTTCTCTATCAGCACCGCAGTCCTGGGCGCTCAGGGCACTGCTGCTCCTCCGTAGCGTGATTCTCATCTCCCCTGAAAAGGCTGCTGTCCTGCCTTCTTCAGATTGAAATCAGCCTTTTGTTATGCTGCTGAGCATCTTCTGATGAACATCAGTGTGGAGTTCCTCAGCAAACTTGAAAGCTCAACTATAAAGTGAGGTGTCAGTGTCTTTAACCAACACGCCCCCTGCTGGCAGGCTCATTCATTTGTGATGCGGTGCGGTTCCCCCGTCTGGTAGCTCATGGTCTATGTACTAGACACGTGTGTTTATGGGTGGTTGCTCTCCTCTCTGATGCTGATGCAGTCTGACCATCTGTCACTGGGGGGCTGTGGTAACCGCAACATCTCCTCTCTGCCCCCCCCAGCCAAGTACGAAACTCAACCCACAAGAATCAGTGACATCACCTGGCTGGACACACAAGACAGCAAATGTGGTTTTCCAGCTGCCCAGTGTGTGTGTGTGTGTGTGTGCATGTGTGTGTGTGTGTGTGTGTGTGTGTGTGTGTGTGTGTGTGTGTGTACTGACGTATGCTCATATGTAAGACTGTCCCCAAGTGTGCTGTACTATAAAAGAACTTCATTGTTTGCTCTCAAACCCCTCTGATCTGTTCAGCTTGCAATCAACACTCCCCTGAAAAGCCTGCAGTTTAATCCCGCCGAATCCCCTGCCCTATCACCCCCCCACCCCCTACACACCCCCTCTGAACCCTGTCAGTGATGGATGTGAAAACATGGAGCACAATGGATCGGTAACTCGATCTGTGAAAACCCAGGTGCGGCAATAAAGTTTGACCAAAAAGCTGGTAGTGTTGTTGGGTGGGTGTGTGTGTGTGTGGGGGAGGGGGGGTTTACCCAGTGGAGGAGGGAGCGGGTTCCACCTCACACGGGGTTAAAGGCCACCAGAGGCAACGGGATGTTCTTATGGTATAATTTATGCCTTTGGGAAAAAAGTGCTATAGGCAGTGAGATTTACGGAGGGAGATAAAACCACGTGTGGAATGCGGGAGCAGCTCGTAACGGCGCAGGGCGGAACAGCGGCCAGGCCTGAGCCACTGGTAGGCCGCCGCCTGCAGGGCCTACCAAAAGCTTTCCCTGTGTTTTAACGTGCTTTTACACATCTTTACTCATTTTGCTGCTCGGCAGAGGTTAAAATGGCCTCCGGTGCCGTCAGCCTGTTAGCGTGTGTGTTCTGGCGCGCGTGTCTGCGTCCAATCAGGACCCACGGATTTCTAGAGAGGAAAGAAATCAATTGAAATTGGAACTCAGTGAAACGGAAAGGAAGTCGAAGCTCCAGGCAAAAATGCTTTGCGGTTTGTTGCTCGGAGGGGAGCGGCGATCTTTTAACACCACCGGCCGTCCCCCGCCGTTTTTTCCAGCCCCCCCCCCCATCACTCTGCCGCTCTTTCCCTTTTGTACCGGAGCAAACTGCTGATTGAGACGAAACTGCTATCGATTCCCAAGGTTTCGCTTACGGCTGTCGGGCTCCAGGCCTTTTCATCCTGTCCTTTCCCAGGCTGCAGCGGCATTTCTTTTTGAACGTCCGCATTTCACTCGTCGGGGATGTAATTCGAATGACTATCTCGCTGCCTAGCAGATAAAGGCAGCACTCAAGGGGTTTTTTCCCAAATAAGGCAGCCGTCCATTTTTCGCAGCCTCGGTGAGGCACATCCGACTCCGGCACCGTGCTGTTCAGCTTTGACGGTGCCTGCGCCTCCTCCCTGCGCCTCCTCCCTGCGCCTCCTCCCTGCACCTTCCCTCCCTCCCTGTTCTAGACCCTTTCCCGCCGTAAATCAGGACCCAGGTGTCCGGTGGGAGCACCCTCTCACAGAGCCCGGCCCGGGTCCTGACCAGAACCGGGGAACGGCCGGGCCCAGCGCTCAGAAGGAGGAAATGACTTCAAAGACCGAGGGAAGGGGGGAGAGAACGTGATGTATGAAAGAATCAACGGCACAGCCTTCCGCAGATCCCTCTATTTTTAAACACTGTTTTTTTTTTGCTTTTTTCTTTTTCCGCTTGCGGTCGGGGGATAAAAAGGCCCCTTTTTTCCCAGCTCTGGGGTACAAAGCGCCTCACAGCTCCGCACGGCCATGTGAGCTACGCAGATTGTGATTAATTTGTGGGCCGGTGTCAGATGGGAGTCTGCGGATGCAGTCGTCGTGGCGGCCCCGGCGAGGTGGAAATACGAGGAGCCCCTGAAAGCGGCCCGGCGTGACTGATGGGGGGGGGTCCGAGACCTCAAGGCTGAAAGCCCCCCCGGCAGGCCTCCATAGGCCCGAGCGGTGATGAGCCCGACTGAACGCTTCCTAAAGGTCATGGTGTTAAGCCACTTCTGTGAGCCCATGAATCTTGTCCCAGTTACGTTTTTACCTGCAATTAAAAGCTGGTCAGGGTGACTCTGTCGTACAGTGTGTCCCTGAACTGTCTTTGATAAACGCTGTGCCTCACACATGTCACGGGTGGCTGTCTCAGTGCTGATAGGTGATAGGTTACTCATTTCCCCGTCAGCGTCTCCCCCGCCGCACCTATCCTGGCAGGCTGGCCCATCTGTTTTGTGCCTTTTATCCAGCTGTTTCACATTGGAGGGGGGGGTGTTTTGAGCAGAATTACCTCGTTGAAACGGGGAGGGGGGGCTGCCGCATCCCGGCTACCCTTTTCTCAGCACGGTAAAACATGGTAACTCTCAGCAGGAGCCAGGTCTGGTCCATCTTCTCCTACGCGGCCTGAGCTGCTCGGGGGTCCGTTAAACCGGGCCCCCGGGGCCTGGGGGCCTGAGCCTGGGAGGCGGGGTGTGGCCCTGAGAGACAGACTCTCACCATGTCCCTGACGGCGCGGAGGAAGCTGGTGATTTGTTCAAGTGGGCGATTAGTGTATCTGTTACGTTACACCCTTAGCCCCGGGTTCGTCAGGCGGGACGGGAGCACCAGTGTCCCCCTGCACGTCCCCCTCCGTGTCCCCCTGCACGTCCCCCTCCGTGTCCCCCTGCACGTCCCCCTGCACGTCCCCCTCCGTGTCCCACTGCACATCCCCCTGCACGTCCCCCTCCGTGTCCCCCTGCACGTCCCCCTCCGTGACTCGGGATCCCTTCCTGAATCATTAACCCAGCACATCCGACTAGATCTCGCCGCCATTTTTTGTGTTCTGTCTCTTAACCGGCTTGACAGTTTAATTCATTCCAGTTTTGATTTACTCTCAGTTACTTGGTTATTTGCTCCTTTCAAACGTGATTTTTTTTTTTTTACTTTCTTTCAGCCAACGCCATGTACATGGGGAGCCAGGAAATGCGGCAAGTTCTAGAAAGAGACAACCAGACCATCAGCCAAAACCTGGACAAGGTAACACCCTTACAGGGATCTGTCCCTGTCACATCGTCAGTCACACAAACTGAAGCAAAACTCTAAAATCAGTGTCACCAGAGAGACGCAATCTGGGTCAATCAGAGTGGTTTGACTCGGGCAAGTTGGTTGTTTGTGTTTAACATGGGGTGAGAGGAGGTGGGACTGGGGGTGGGGTGTGGGCGGGGTCAGGACCGGAGGGGCGGGGCAGTGGTGTTCTTCAGGTGCCGTCCTCGCTTCTCCCGGACTGAGTCTCTGGACTCAGCTAAATGGGGTTAATGTTTGTGCCAGAACTCAGCCATCCGTTAAACGGGTCCGCAGATCTGCCCGGTTGTCGGAGGAACCCCGCGGGCGCCGTGCTGGGAACACAGCCGGTTGCTCATTAACGGCGGGTCCCCTGGTTCGTCCGAGGCCAGAAGGGGGTGTCAGCCAGCCTGTTTGCCCCCTGTGGCCCCTGAGTCGGCCCCTGTGGACCCCTGGTGCCCTTGACGGCCCCTCCGGACCCCAGCACTGTGCAGGGATGCAACACTCGACGTTCTGTGATGTATAGGATGTATAGTTCTTGGCGTGTAGCAAAACTGAAGGTAACGACTTAAAATCAGATTATCCTTGAGTAGAAATCCCTCCCACATCCTTGTCTCATACACACTCGCACCTCCGCTTGTTAGCCTCTGGGGTCCGGTCCGGCCCGGCTGACATTCTCCAGAATCCGCAGCCCCTTGGGTGTGCGGCCCCCGGGTCGTGCGTTTTATCTCTCATCGCTTAAAAAGGTGACATCATTGCCCTTTTAAAAAAAAAATCCTGCTTATCCTCAACTAACCCAAATGTGTCCGTCATAAATACCCTCCCATCCAGAGTACGGCTGGCGTTAAGGTACCACGGTCTCCTGCTGGAATTTCGGTGATGCAACGCAGTGCATTTGTGTGTTTATGTGCCGCGTCCTGGGCGGTCTGGTGACCCCCCCCCCTCCCGCCCTTCCCAGACCATTCCTACGCATTCCTGCTTGTCTCGGCCGGCCCCTGGATCGGGGGTCTGCACACTGTGCCATACTCCTTCCCAACCCTGCCTTGGAACGGGAGGTGGGGCGTGATGCTGGTGTGTTTGCAGGCCTGGGTGAGCTGCGATCCGGGGACCGTGATGCCGTCCTGGGCATCCCTCTGCGGTGACTGGCTCTGTGTGTCTCTCCTTCTGGAGCTTCAGCACCAGGGGCTGGTGGGTCACTAAGGGAAACGCCACATCTGGAGCATTTGGTATGGCAACAAGTGCACCATCTGCACCGGCAACAAGTGAACTGCCCGCCCCGTGCCAGAATCAGGCCTGTCATGTCTCCCTGCCATGTCTCTTCCTGGCCGCGGCTCGTGTTCTGGGTCGGGATCCACCTCACGCCCTGCCATGTCTCTTCCTGGCCGCGGCTCGTGTTCTGGGTCGGGATCCACATCACGCCCTGCCATGACTCTTCCTGCCTGTGACTCGTGTTCTGGGTTGGGATCCACATCACGCCCTGCCATGTCTCTTCCTGCCCGCGGCTCGTGTTATGGGTCGGGATCCAAATCACGCCCTGCCATGTCTCTTTCTGCCCGTGGCTCGTGTTCTGGGTCGGGATCCACCTCACGCCCTGCCATGTCTTTTCCTGTCCACAGCTTGTGTTTTACTATGGAGCCAGTGACCACTGGTGCCCGGTGGAGTACTACCATGACATCAAGAGGGAATTCCCCGCTGGAAACATCCAGCTGTGTGAGAGGGGCTTCCGCCATGCCTTCGTGCTGGACTCGGGCTGCGACGTGGCCATCATGGCGGCAGACTGGATCCGCGGTGACCTGCAGCACCTGTGACACCCAGCTCCACTGGAGCTGAAGCAGAGACTCGAACCCCTGTCCCAGTGAGGCAACAGTGACCACGACAGTGCTAACTACTGTCCCCCCCCCCATTTTAGCCCCAACCCTAATCACCAGACCTTTGAAAAAGCTCTGATCTGAACTTTAATTTAAACTTTAATTTCCAGGTGTTTGTTTGGAGACTTACTCACCCAGACCAGCTGGGATAAAGAGATTGTATTAATCGTGGAGTTTCGGGCTGCTCCTGTCTGACGACGAAGGCTAACAGCCCCAGACTGCCCCCACCAAAACGCAGAGTGAAATTCACACGACAGCCCTGTGGCCCCCTGTGTGTGTCTGAGTGTGGCTAGAGGATCCTGGAAGATGTCTCACATCTTTCACGTTGAGAGTGTCTGCGGAGTGCCACGCTTAACCCTGCGCCGATTCGATTTACGCACATTCCTCGCTGAAATACGTTATCTGTCGAACGTCCAGAGCAGACATGTCAGAGGTTTGTTTGGATTAGAGGGCCGTTATCGCCGAGCCGGTGTGATCGCGCCGAAGACGGGGTGCTCTCCTCGCCCCGGCTGCCGTTCGCCAAGCGTTCCGCTGGGCGTATTTGCGTCTCCGCTCGCAATATGAACATCTGGGGGCCGTGCAGCTTCTCATTCCAATCACGCTGGCCGCCTCTCCCTGCCTGTGACGTTTGGCAGAGGGCTGCATGGGGAACAGTTAGCTGGAGATGTGGACGTTGGCATCAATCCGCGGGGATGGGTGGCTTAGGAATGGACCCTCCAAGTCACTCCAAGTCACCCTGATGGACAGGAAGCCGCAGGCGGTTTGATGGATAATAATAATAATAATAATCATTCCTTTATTGTCCCCGTGGGGAAATTCTTTTTACGCCTCCCTCAACTCGCTCTTTGTAGAGTAAGCTGTCTGCGAATGGCGGCCACCTGTTAGGATCGGAATGTAACCAGCAATCAGAGGCTTCATCGTGGAGGCAGATCATGTAAAAGGGAAATCTGTCACTTTCTTTGTCATTGTATACTAATCTATTAAAAAAAGTCTTTCTTCCTGAATTGTTTTTATTAACTGTTGCTAGGCTTATATTGCATAATTATGGCTTCACCTCTGACCTTTGACCCCTGTGCTCCTGTGGAGCTGATCCACCTGGCCTGTACGCTGTGTGTGGGTGTGCTCTGCCTGACCCCGAAGGTGACAGGGAGCTGGGTGGAGATCAGGAGGTGCCAGCGAACACACTCTGCAGACCGAGGATGGAGGCTGTTTTCAGGGGAATGTGCCTCAATTGGGTGAGCAAACACTCTGTCCCCCATGTCATTCTGTGGTCACAGGATGGGGACATCAGAGCGACTCTGTCTCTACCCTGTGTTAGCCTGTGGTCACAGGATGGGGACATCAGAGCGATGCTGTCTCTACCCTGTGTTAGCCTGTGGTCACAGGATGGGAACATCAGAGCGACTCTGTCTCTACCCTGTGTTAGCCTGTGGTCACAGGATGGGGACATCAGAGCGATGCTGTCTGTCCCCTCTGTTAGCCTGTGGTCACAGGATGGGGACATCAGAGCGACTCTGTCTGTCCCCTGTGTTAGCCTGTGGTCACAGGATGGGAACATCAGAGCGACTCTGTCTGTCCCCTGTGTTAGCCTGTGGTCATGCTGAAATTCATCTCTGCCAGCAGCAGTTATTTCCTAAGCTACTGAGAAACATTGATCTGAGGTCTTGACGATGGCAGTCTGTTGCTGTTGGCCTCTGTGACAGCTGAGTGACTCCTGCTGCCGTTCCTGCGCCTCTGCTTCCACATGACGGACTCGCCTGTGCTTAGCGATTAGCGGTGTCCCTCACTCTCTAGCCTTTTAAAGCCTTGTCCTTGTTTGTTATCAAACCGACACAAATTCCAAAATTCTGGGCTGCCTGATATTTCCTGCTCTTTGCCAGCAGTTCGTTGGGGGAAGGGGGTCCTCACTTTCTTCCATAAAAGTATAAAAGCGTTATAGAGGGAGATGTAAAGTCTAGCCAAGACACACAAAGGTGGTGGTCACCCCAGTGCCACCCTGGTCCGAATCTGCAACACAAGGCAGGGTGACAGAGCCCACGTCCACCCGGCACCAACCCACCACACAAACCTGCTCATCTTCATCACAGAGGCTTTTTATCTGGGAGATGCTTAACCCTAAACTGTAGGTCCAGTTTTGAGGAACCCAGCCTTCCACACGTGGCACTCTCAACTGTCTCTCGCTGCCTCAATAATCAGACTGTCTGTCAAGCTTCATCGAAAACCCATGCGCATTTTTAATAAATAATTATGTTAATTAATTGGGAGGCAGTTCATGAACTGGGAGGCGGTGCATGAACTGGGAGGCGGTGCATGAACTGGGAGGCGGTGCATGCATATGCTTCAGTGGCTGGAAACTGGATGTTCAGCGGAGACCAGGGCCTTCTACAAGCTACTCACTAGGACCATGATGAGCCCAGTTTGACCCACTGTGAGGAGATGGAGACCAGTGTGGGCTTTGGTCATGGAGGGGTTGGTCAGTTGCATAAGACCACAGAGAAACGTGTATTTTAATGTGGGTCACAGCCCCCCTGTTTAAAAGTAAGATTCAGAGTTTCACCTGGACAGGGAGGCAGATTGTGAGGGTGACCTGTGGAAGGTCAGCAAAAAACAGATGTGATGTCAGATATGTTCCTGATGCTGTGGGCTAGTGGGGGGCTCAGTTTGAAGATGCACCCCAGGGATTTTTGCACGTCGATGGGTGAAGGTCGATGACATCCGGAGAGCCAGGCGGCCAAAGGTCCGAGGGTTTTTTCCCAGAGTTCCCAGTCAGTCACAGTCAGGGCCATGGACACCCGTCTCTGTGTTTCCCCTCTTGGGGGGTGGTTCTGCTTCTGATTCCCCCCCCCCCCGGAGCAGAACCCCAGCTGTGTGGCTTGTGTGTAGGCCCCCAGGCCCCCTCCCAGGACGACCATGGCCACAAATAGCCCGACCGCCCAGGGCTTGTAATCAGCTTGCAGGGAGCGGCATGGCAGACCGCTGTGGGGGGGGGGGTTTCTTTCATCTCTCCTCCCCACGACCGTCAAATGGAAAAACAAAGGCTCCTAATTCTGCAGGCCCTGATTGAATCCATGAGTTGGGACTGCGGCACAGGGAATCACGCCCCATGTCCGGGGCTTCCCAGAGCGCCCCCTAGTGACAGACACCCCCAGCATCAAAGCGCCCCCTAGTGACAGACACACCCCCAGCATCATGTGCCGTAGGTCACTGTCTGTCAGAGGTGGCCATCCCCCCCCCCCCCCCGTGTTTTGACAGCCTCATGCTCTGCCTGTCCTTCTCCCTGCCCCTTAATCTTATAACTGATATATTATGTGATGTATCTGAAAAGCCACAATTTCCCTCCAGATGGGAGGGGGGTTGGGTTGTGGTTCTTCTCCGGTCCTTCTTTTGCCCTGACGTGGCCGGGTCACTGCATCTATGTTTGCAATTGTGGTGACTCTGACTCTGTGTTCCCACGAATATGCGGAGGGCATGCGGGGGGCATGTGGAGGGCATGCGGGGGGCATGTGGAGGGCATGCGGGGGGCATGCGGCAGGCGTGCGGGCAGGTCAGCACCCGTCATGCCAGGAATCATGTGACACGTGGCATCTTTAACCTTACTGGGCAGCCGTGACTCTGACATGTCAGCAGCTGTGACTCTGACATGTTACAGAAGCATTTCTTATGTTACCTGAGTGTTTTAATAGGTTACTGGACCATTTTTATATGATATGGCAGTGTCATTTATACATTACAGAAGAAATTTTATACATTACAGAAGTGTTTTCTTATACATTATGGCAGTGTTTCTATATGTTGCAGAAGAATTTTTATAAATTACAGTGTTTTTCACATCATGGAAGTGTTTTTATACATTGTTGCAGCTTTTTTACCTTTGGCATTTTGGGAGTATTTTTATATGTTACTGCAGTTTTTCACATATTATAAGAGCATATTTTTACATTATGGAAGCATTTTTATATGTTACTGCAGCATTTTTCTAGATTATGGGAGCGTTTTTATACGTTACTGCAGCTTTTTTATTCATTATGGAAGTATTTTTATATGTTACTCCAGCATTTTTATACATTACTGCAGCGTTTTTATACATTATGGAAGTATTTTTATATGTTACTCCAGCATTTTTATACATTACTGCAGTGTTTTTTTATATATATATTATGGGAGCATTTTTACATTTTTCAGAAGAATTTTTATACGTTAGAGAAGCATTTTTTATACGTCATGGGAGCATTTTGATACGTTACCGTAATTGTTTTGGAGTTCTATTCTAAGTCGGCTGTGATCTGGACCCCAGTGTCACTAATAATTGCAATTTTACGAGTCCAGCTGACAGCGCACAGATAAGCCAGCATGACACAGGCGATGCGCACATGCGAAGCCCAGTGTGTGGGGGAGGGGGTGTCGGGATATTCAAGTTGAACATTGCATTGCCTGTGTTGGTTGCCGTGGGTTTCATGCTACGGCCTGTGATCAGCCTGATTCCCATGTGCCGTCTCGTCCCCGTGGCCAGGAACCGACACAAAGAGCCAGAGGGAAGCTGGGACGTACCCCTCCACCCGTCTGTCCGGACGTCTGCGGGTCAGGGGGGCTGGGGGGCAGGGGGGCTGCACCTCCTGTGGAATCCTGCTGGCAGCGTGTGAGACTCCATCATAGGATTCACCCATGAACTCAGCAGAATCTCACGTTCTTTGGGTCCAGCTGGGAGATTTTTCTTTTTAAACACGAGTATACACACACACACGCGCACACACACAGGCTTGGACGTCTATTTGGGCAGGGCCTGCTGTCCTGGGTGCGAGAGCTTTAGTTACTGTGTGTAAAGCACACCAAGTTGGATTTTCAGTGCTCTTCACTTTTGGAGAGGATATTTAATGGCATTTTTTGCTGAAAAGTAAAATGTGGTATTTTCATTAGCCTGATTCTGGGCCAGAGGCTGGCCTAACGCCAGAGATTTGAAAAGATGGAAGAACTTTTATTTTGAAAGTAGAAGGGCTGCTGGAATAGGAAGTCCCACTGTACCATGGGATTAGTGGGAAGTGTGGGATCCATGGGCCAAGTGTCTGATCCAAGTGGGTCCCAGGTGCTCAGCTGCGACTCACCTGGCTGTAGGTCACGTGATCAGCTTGCCAGGTGAGTGTGTTTGTGTGTGTG